TATTATTTGCATTGATCTCAAAACCTATTAAATGATTTAATATGAAATTGAATTCAGATTTTGTTGCATACGATTAGCTTATATTTAGAGATGTTTTATAAGAATTATTAGCGAATTATGAATTTATATTTAGCTTATCGTAAGCTTATCTGCAATCAATTGAGTCATGATTGCAGTGTTTGACCCAAAACTGCTTCAAACATTTAAATTAAGCCTAAGCTAAACAATTAAATTATTTTTTACTTTTATACTAATAATTTATAGCCTTTATTATTATCATTTAATAATTAAATATATAATTTCTCAAAATGCAATTCAAATATAGAGTACCAGTATATTATGAATTATATAATGAATTTTATATGTGAATTTTCAACTAAATTATAATTATTTCCCTATTATATAAATCCATACAAAACTCACTTTTATTGTTGTCTGAATCAATTGTTTGCAGTTTTAGATTCAATTGTTTTGTCTTCTGTTGTGAAACCATTCATAAAAAGCATTTAACTATAACTAACAAATCAGACAAACATTTTTAACTTCATAAATCTTAAAACAAGTAGTATATAAATTTGTTCGTTTGTTTTCAAAGCTATTTATTACTTATTTTATATTTTCTGTACGAAATAAAACCGTATAAATTAATTGTAAAACTAAATCACTGTTACATTTCATTTCAATATATTTATTAATACAATCACTAAAATATAAATAATATTTAAGGGGACAGTAAATCATCGTACGGTATATTGATTGAAATATGTAAATTTATATAATAATAGCAAATTAGTGTCAAGCTGGTAATTCATAGTAACACATAGAGTTTTAATTTTTGTATAACATAGTATTTTATTTTTCATGTGACGACATATGGCGTAATGTAAGTGTAATACTTGAATATTTTTTGATAAAAGTATTCTAAACTCGGTATTCCAATGTAAAATGTCACATGACACTGACTTACAATCCTGGTAACATCAAGTTCTAAAGTTTTAGAAACGGTTTCTTTCTACACTTCCTTTAATACATGGTAGAGAGTTTACGCGTACCCAAGAACGTCACGTTCTAGGACCTAGAATCTAGGTGAAAAGTGACCAGGGTAACAAATATTATTCCAAATGACAAGCATATTTATTTTTATTGCAATTCGGTGATTTATTCGTTTAAAATATTATTATAAATAGATGGAATAAAAAATTTTACAAACAAACTACCAAATCTAACAAAATAGCTATAATATTTGAGTCAACCCTTGTTTAAAATACAGGTATAATTACAGCCCATTTCGTATGCTTTGGTATAACCTTAGAGCGAGTTTTATATTCAAGCCGTCAGTTCTCAACAAAACTACAAAACTTTTGCGTAAGGATTAAAACCGACAAACGCTTCATCACTGCATCACTTGTTTAATAGCAGTTATTATTGTCTAATCTTAAGGAATCACTGATTGTTTACTTATGTTAAGTCATTCCCGGTTTGAGAGCAAAGGTTTACAGTAAATGCCATTTGCGCTCAAAACACATTATTCCAGTGAATCTAATGTTCAATAAATGATAATTATTTTCAAAATTATTCAACTAAATATTGAACACTAGTTATATACCAGTGAATCGGTCCCACGTCTTAAATATAACCTATCGATTAAGTGATGTTTTGCCATATTTGCAATAGAATATGAAATATTTGTAAATTATACACAAATTAACCCAAGTTTCATAATACAAGTTTCGAGTATTTATAGTATATTTTGTTAATAAAGTGGTCAATAGTTTAAATGAACAATTCTGTTGGTAAGTTTTTAAATTAACTTTTATATAAATATTATGTTTAAGAAATTTATAAATTCTAAAATATTTTGTTGTCTTGACTTAAAAGTGTTATATTGTTTGATATTCTTAAACATATTTTTATTTGTAACAAAATGCTAATTATTTTAAGTTTTGTTTCATTGACACACAATTGCGTTCATTATTAGCATTAAATAACTTGAAAGCATTCGTGCGATTTATTCACGCAATAAATCAAGAAAATATTTTTAAAATAAAAACAAACATATTTTGACAATAAATTCATTATTAAAGAGTTTGTTGTCTAATTTATTACTTTTATGGCAAACAAACAATCTTTTAAAAGTGAATTATTTTATTATTATTGATCTAAATATTAGAAATCCATTTGAAATGTTATATTTTCTTATAAATTATTCGTTTTCTTGCATTCTTTACATTATTTTTTTTGTTACTTATTATCAATTTATTGATTGATATGTATTGACATCAAAGTTTGTAATTTGTTGAAACCATTTAAAATGCATTTCATAACACTATTACACGGGTTAGAAGTGTAGTGTCCAACCCATTAATGTCCAAATATAGTCACAAACGATAATTAAAAATAATAAACTCTATTTCATTTGGAGATTGATTTGATTCCATAAACGTTTTACAAAATTATTTTTCTTGTAAAATAGGTCTCAATAACTCTCAGAGCGTTGTTATCATAATATGAACAACAATTTGGGCCAAAAAATTAATAGACAGTTATCAGTATAGTTGTCGATATACTTTAGTTTATTTATTAATTCATTTCCACACGTTTTAACCCATTGTTTGAATATAATATATTGTATGTTATTAAATATGTTTGCATGTACTTTTAAAGTTACAAATATATTAATTATAAAATTCTTTTACTCTATTATTTAAAGAAATTGAAATTTAATGGATATCATGTTTATTCATATTATATTCCGTGCCTATGTTTAAGCTTAAAAGTAATAATTTGTATATTCATTGAATGAATATAAATAATAATTTTTAAATATTTAATAAATTACCTTATCATCAAAACACTTGCATTTATACGGTATACAGTATACAAATTATAGAATTCGTAAGTTTTTATTGACAAATTTTCCCACAAAGATAATCATACATTTAGTATGTATAGTCCCTCCCCAGCCCCCAAAACATTTTCACAAACTAAATGCCATTTAAACCTCCAAACGTCATCATATTAATCATTGCTTTTGTATGCATTTCAATGAACAAACCCTAAAGGGAGTGACAAAATACAATTAAGAAAAATGTTTAAATAACAAAAATATGTAAGTTATAATAAAATATAAAACAATGATTTTTATTTGTCTTGTTAATTAATTATTCAGAAATGTGTACTTATTTTTATATATCCATAACAAGTTAAATTAAACAAGTAAAAGTTTCTTACGTGTAAGTTGTTTTTAACTTATAATAATAATTTATTTCTATGCAATATCTTATAAAATATTAATTTTCAGCTAGAATTTTAATTAAAAATTTATTTAAAATTTTATTAAATTATATTAAAACAGTTATTATCTCTTTATAACATAATATAATATAATGTAATAAAGTTTTAAACATCATAATTCGTTTATTTGATTGAACGTTCAAAGATCGCTTTTAACCACCTTGGCACTTTTAGGAAAATTCCTTAATTTATATAAATATTGAGATTCATTCAAATCTCATGACATTTATGACACTAAATATAGTATTTTCAATAAATTTATTTCCTTTAAAATTTAAAATTCAAGGAAAATAACAATTTTAATGTCTATAATATGAAAATTGTGTTTATGTGCAAACGTCTGGTGGTGTCGGAAAATAAGTTCTTGGTCATTGATGTGAATGGTTTTAATTTGACATGTTTATTTTCACAAATAATAGGGATTCATAAATTTCCGGGATTACATGTTGATATACCTTTTTTACTGTATATAAAAATGTTTTTAAGCTTTCAAATCAACAATTCATTATTGTAAAAATTTCTAATGAGTTTATTTACAATTTATTTTAATTATTACTACTTTTGAGTGTAATATTTGAAGACTTATATTAGAAAAACGGAATTAATATAACTTTAATGAATTATTTAAAAGTTATTAATTTTATGAGTAGTTTATGACAAGTAATTTAAGATAAGTTTAAGGTTATTATTAATAGAGTCCAAGATTTGTGTGAAACATATTTTGGTTGTTTTTGTGCTTTACATTTGAAGTTCTGATTTGACGGAACCGTTAGATCATTAGTTGCCTCAAGAAATGCCTTACAATTTTCATGTGAGGGCAAGAAATTTATTTTTATAAACTCTTTAGAATTCGTGCGAATTTATGCAAAAGACTGGTTCCCATCAATTGAATGAGTCGTGGCTTTTGTTTTTGAATATTTATCCAAGAATTTTATGAATTGAAATGTGATNATCTTAAGCATTCAAAAATAACTGTTTAAAAGGGTGTTTCTATTAGTATGTAAATCATACATATCAGGGAGGGGTCGGGGGTTTTGTAAAAGTGTTTGATTTACGGTAAATTTGGAGGTTTGCAGTATATATTGATCATTGCTTTTGCATGCATTTCAATGAACAAACCCTAAAGGGAGTGACAAAATACAATTAAGAAAAATGTTTAAATAACAAAAATATGTAAGTTATAATAAAATATGAAACAATGATTTTTATTTGTCTTGTTAATTAATTATTCAGAAATGTGTACTTATTTTTATATAACAAGTTAAATTAAACAAGTAAAAGTTTCTTACGTGTAAGTTGTTTTTAACTTATAATAATTATTTATTTTTATGCAATATCTTATAAAATATTAATTTTCATCTAGAATTTTAATTAAGAATTTATTAAAGGTTTTATTAAATTATATTAAACAGTTATTATCACTTGATAACATAATATAATGTGCTAAAGTTTTAGACGTCATAATTCGTTTATTTGATCGAACATGATCAAAGATAGCTTGTGACCACCTTGGCACTTTTAGAAAAATTCCTTAATTTATATAAATATTGAGATTCATTCAAATCTCATGACATTCATGACACTAAATATAGTATTTTTTAATAAATTTATTTCCTTTAAAATTTAAAATTCAAGGAAAATAACAATTTTAATGTCTATAACTAATAAGGGCAATTTGTACACTCAGTGTACATTTTAAAAGAAATATGAATGGTCATTTATGTAGTAATACTATTCTATTCATATATAATATAATCAATGATTGTGAATGGGGTTTAAACAAAAAATATTGACTAATATATTAGTTTAAATTATATTTATTAAAACTTTTGGGGCACAAAATGACTAAAAGCATTGTAACGTTTATAGTGAACTAAAGTTCATTAATTGCCTTGATGATTCAATAATATCGTCCAATTAATAATTGTATTTTTTTATAGCTGCCCATATTAGCTATAATATGAAAATTGTGTTTATGTGCAAACGTCTGGCGGTGTCGGAAAATAAGTTCTTGGTCATTGATGTGAATGGTTTTAATTTGACATGTTTATTTTTACAAATAATAGGGACTCATAAATTTCCGGGATTACATGTTGATATATCTTTTATGTACTGTATATAAAAATGTTTTTAAGCTTTCAAATCAACAATTCATTATTGTAAAAATTTCTAATGAGTTTATTTACAATTTATTTTAATTATTACTACTTTTGAGTGTAATATTTGAAGACTTATATTAGAAAAACGGAATTAATATAACTTTAATGAATTATTTAAAAGTTATTAATTTTATGAGTAGTTTATGACAAGTAATTTAAGATAAGTTTAAGGTTATTATTAATAGAGTCCAAGATTTGTGTGAAACATATTTTGGTTGTTTTTGTGCTTTACATTTGAAGTTCTGATTTGACGGAACCGTTAGATCATTAGTTGCCTCAAGAAATGCTTTACAATTTTCATGTGAGGGCAAGAAATTTATTTTTATAAACTCTTTAGAATTCGTGCGAATTTATGCAAAAGACTGGTTCCCATCAATTGAATGAGTCGTGGCTTTTGTTTTTGAATATTTATCCAAGAATTTTATGAATTGAAATGTGATTAACGAACGTTTGAATAAGACCTAAGACTCTGCCATCAATTGCCACAAGTGTTGGTAGACTGGAGTCCAAACTTGAAACCGGTTTGACTTAGTTTTGTATGAACCGGGAAGATATAGATAGCATAGTGTGATAGCAGCGATAGGGCGAGGGGTTGATCCCTACCATACCATAACATACCACCGATCCTCACATCACATACAATCAAATCTCTGTTTTTTAATTTTCAATGAAGAATAATAATATGAGAAATATTTTTACGGAACTTTGAGTTATTGTATCAAAACATAATAATATTGAAATATAATATACGGATATTTACGACAAACTTGTATGAAATTAGCATTTTTTAAAAAGATTCAGAATTGACAAGAATTGTGAGATTGAAACACAATATTTAAGATATCAATCAAATAATAGTTTGCGACAAAAAAGTGGAGAAAAATATGTGGATTGTATTGAGAAACTAAAACTCGTTGTGATATTTCATCTCAACCACAGAGTAAAGAGTTATGAAAGAGGAGCTCAGATAGGATGCAACGGTGCGAATCACAAAAGCCAATACTCGATCCACTTGTGTTACATGACTGCCACCAAAACCATCACTTGAAGGTATAGTTCAAATGTTTCGCATTCACACAACCCATCCATACATTTGATTCATTTCTCAGATGAAGTTAATATAATCTTTTGTCCATTGCATACCCTGTCTATTGTCCAGACCTGTGGCCCAATGTATAAAAAGTTGCAAAGAGAACATCTTCTTCTGCAGCGATCTTTCGCTTCAGTCTCTCAATCACTCAATGAAAACCTATCGAAATGTCAATCCAATGAACAATTCATCTCTAATATAGTGCACAACAAGAGTAATAAAACAAAGTGTCAGCTCAAGAGACAAGTAATTCTACTCTTTCTCTTATCTCATCTTTCTTTATATAACTTTATGTAAAGTAATGTTGTATTATATCCTCAAATTCATTGTTCTGTAGATGTCTTTAATTAATTGCAAATTACTAGAGGATAATGAAGTCCATCCGACACAACCTTTTAATGTAAGTCTTTATGTTTTATTTTCCTAATTTAAATATCAATGTTATTAAATTTTAATATTACGTATATCTAAAGTATGATATTTAGCATATGATATCTCTTTTAACAATAGGTTAAGTTTGCATAAAATTAATTTTAATAAATTGTACAAGTGTTTTTGTTTGTTTTAATATAATAGGGATATGATTATTGACATAATTACATGTAGATCTATAATAACTCGATCGGTTCATGATATTAATTTCCGTATAATTTGGCATAAAATGTAATAAATTTTACGAAACTGTGTTACAGTATTGCTATTAAACACTTGTAATTAAAAATATCAAATAATTATTATGAGATAAAATGTAATTATTATGAAATCAGAATTTCCATTAAATATTAATAATAGGGGTTTAAATGATGTGAATGTTTTCAGTATCTAAATATTGCTGACTCGATGTAATTTATTATAAAATATCTTATATTTTATTAGTTGAAAAACGTCTTTTTAAATGTATTTCCAAAAATATAGTGTAATAATAAGTTTGTGTAATAAATATAATGAAATATTGATTGACATAATTATAAGAAATTATTGATAATTTACTAAATAATTAATTACAAAATTTGTTGACAATTACCAACAAAATTACGTTTTAGCCTAACTTTAGATTTGCATAAATTTTAGATTTCTTGTGATGTTTAATGTATACAAGTTTTAACTGTAATTTTATTACTTTATGACCATTTCATTGAGATTCTCAATTTGAGACTTTTAAGCGGTGACTCTGTATATGGCTATGGCTTAAGGGCTTGCTTTACATCATTTCCAAACTGCATGTATTCCCGGAGATAATCATTACATTTGTATATTTGTTACGGTTTTTTGTTTGATATAAATGTGTTTATAATCTCATAAATTATATTTCATTAAAATTGTAGAATTTATTTTCTGATTAATCTATATTTTTAGCGTTTAATTCTTCAATATTATAAATTATCACAAAAAACTTATTACAGTATTTCTAGAACTACTATTTTTCACCAAACATTAATTGAACGGCAAAAATATCTATTAAATTGAATTTTAAATTTTAAAAAAAATTTATTGAACTTTTTTCAATGAATTACATATGTTTTGAAATGTAAATTCTTATATCGGAATTTAATTGTCATTTAGACGAAAGTGAAATGATGTAAATATATGTTGTAATAATTGCATTACAGATCCCTTCAGTGCCAGTAATTATTCATAAGAAGTTATGCAAAGAACATGTTATTCTTCAGCAGTCTTTCGCCACAGTCTGTCAGTCATTGAGAGAAATGCTGGAAAGGGATGGCAGTCAACGACCCAAACAACACAACATTTCAAACTCACAACAAAAGAAATCTAATAAAAAAGAATTTGATGAACTCAGGAGACGGGTAACAGTGCTTTCATACCTTTCATACCTGTTGTGCCCAACAATCCCTTCAATCCTTCATATAATTATACTTTACTTCAAAAAACAGATCGAATTATTAAGTATTGAATTACAAGAAACACGCGATCAAAACGAATTGCTTGAATTCAGAATCCATGAATTCGAACACATTAAGGTAAAATACCATTTTTCACCATGCTCATTCAATGCACCATTCATATGACATTATTGTGTTGATGCAATGTTTTGTGTGATAAATAGGCACCAAAAAATCAAACTTCAAACAAGAGCTCATTCAATGCAAAGGCTGACGATTTTTCGCATCGCTTTAATGTTTGCATATTTTTTTATTACTAATTCTTTAATACTCTTTGAATTCTGGTTTATTTAATTCACTTTCCATTCACTTTACTCTCATTTATTTTATTCGTCGGTTTAATGAACAAAAAAAGTTGGGTTTTTGACTTTTAAGTTAAGAGTGTATAAGCGGTGGGAAAATAGGCGATGCGTTAAGAATAATCACTATTGTTATAGTATTGGCGCTCTGTTTCTGAGATGTTTAGTGATAATGCTATTTATAATGACATCTAATCTTTATTTAAGTTATAATCTGGTCATTAGGACAACAAGTGCTGAGACAGACATGCGGTTCATTAAACAGAATATTGCTTTGATTTTTCACTTTCAATATCAAAAAAATAATATTTAAATTCCAAAACATTATAATTTAAAACCTTTTTATCTATTAAGAACTTCCTGTAAATTTTAAGTCATTATATATTATAATAGAAATTAAAGTCATATTTAAAATGTTTTTGTATATAAAATGTAAACTAATTTTTTCAGGAGATTCCGTGCAATAAGTGCTGTAAACTTGAAACACAACTTTTTGATGTTAATAATGAAAACCAGAAGTTGAACGAGAAATTCAATGCAACACAAAAAACATTAAATGAATTAATAGCTAAATATGCACTTAAGGAAGAACTCAATAATTTATTACTTCAGAGGAATTACACCAAAAATACTGTTATTGACAGTAAGAATGATTTAAAATTGTTTACATCTTTGCGATCACTTATTTGTATATTTTATTTTATTAATGAAAATCAGAAAATAGTTATATTGGGTCTGCGATGACGAGCGAAGATGAAGGTCTTGGGGACGACACTCGCAGAGATCATTCTTCAGGACCGAGTAGTTTAGTTGATTCACAAGAGCCAGAGTACGATGTGATGAGTGAGTCGACACAATCGACTCCAGATTTAGGGCATAAGGAGGGGTTGACTAATGCATGCAGTATTGAAGATGTGGAGCAATTGGGGCCTCAAAGGGAACAACTGAGAGAATCAGTTGAATCAGACAAAGACAAAGAGCAATACTTAAGATTAGAAGTGATGAGAAGCAATGATTTAATCGAAAAGTTGAAACAAAGTATAGACAAACTGAAGGGAGAAAAGGCTATTTTGGAGGAACAGGTTCTCGAACTCGAAGAGGCAGAGAATGACTCCAGACTTATGAGCCAACGATTACAACAGCAAATGCAGACATTTGTTGACGACTACGAGAAGTTAGAGTTGGATTTAATCAATGCCAACAAAACCATTGATCTGAACAATAATAGGATTAAAAGTTTTGAAACAATAGAAACAGATTTAAGGCATCAAATCGAAGAAATGAGAAGTATTTTATTGAAACACTCTTTTGTCGACAATAATTGTAATCGAAATGAAAAGCGTTTCGAGAGAACGGATACAATGAGAAGCGTTCAACAAAATAATGATTTGTTTAATAAAATACCAGACAAACGATGTGAACAACACTCGACACAAGTCGATAGTTTATATTCAGTTGTGTGGGAAAGACTATACCGATTGGAAAATCAAATCGACTGTTTAAAGCAGTCTTACAATCAGACAAACCAAACCAATTGCTCTCAAGACTATACAGACGATGACTTACAGCTCTTTATTTCGGCTGAAAGGCTATCAGAAGGAGTCTCGAAAATAGGCTCTTCTTTTGAAGTGAGTCACTTCGATAAGAGTCGAGACCAAGCGTTCAATCACTGCGAGGCCAGTGTCCGACTCGACGATCTCGTCCTGTCTATGCCTTTATGTGAAGCCGTAAAAGCGGAACGCATTGATGTTATGGTACCCAATACTTCTCAACTGAAGGTCACTCCCTCTCCATCTCATGCATTACCCCATGAATTGACCACAAAATTGGCTAAATTAGAGACCAATGAACAGCAACTGAGAGAAAGATTAGTGCAATTAGAGTGGATTAACAAAGAGTTTGTTCGCGAACTGGAATTGAGAGAAAAGATATTTTTTGAAAGAGAAAAAAATCAAAACGAATGGACGAATAGTGAGAATGAATTCAAATATGCTATAAATGAACTCAAAAATGAGATTAAAACGTTTGATGTGAGAGAACATGATTTAAAGATACAATTAAATAAATTATGTGAAAATATTGTATCGATAAGTAAAAAAATGGATGAGAAAAATGCGAAACACGAAATCAAATTGAAAGAAATAAGAGATCAAAAAAGCAATAGTTTGGTTGAATTGAAACAACATATAAAACAATTGGAGTCAATTGAATGCCATTATAAGAGACAATTGACTGAAACTATTGCACACGAAGACATTGATTCACAAACAAGTGTCACAGAAATGAGTGAAAAACACAAACAAATTACTCAAGAATTGAAACAAGAAAATGAATTGTCTTTAAAAAGAGATGAAGAGTTTTCCCTAAAAATAGTTTCTTTAATTAATTGTCACAAGACTTGTGGCTTAAAGCTTAAGAAACAAATACAAGAGCTTGAGATTCAAAAAACAAATGTCATTAAAGAAATTGAAATAATTGCCGATAAAAAGATATTCACTACAAACTCGTTAAAAGATAAAGAAAATAGTTTGAAAAATGTAAGACTTATATCTTTTTGTACTTGTTTTTCGATTGTTTTCTTTCTAATTATTTTATAATTATTAAGAATATATTCTAATTAAGAAAAATTTACTTTAACCCCTAATTTAGATCCGAAATGCATACGAGAGGCGAATAAAAATTCTGTTAGAAGAGCACAAACTGATGGAAAAAGAGCTGAAAATGAAGATGAAAGAAATGGAGGGCCAGACCTCCTCTACAGTCAATCAGTTAGAGTTTGAGAGAAATAAAATCATTAAACAATTGGAGGAAAGTTTTATCCATCATAAGGACAAAGAGTTTGAATTTACTTCAAATATAAATAATTTAAATACAAAAATAGATAAAATTGAGGCAAAAATATTACAATTAGTTAAGAATAAGAGTAATTGCGATAAATTGAGAAATTGTGAAAACGAGAAATTAAAGATTGAAATCAATTGCATTCAGTCGTGCGAAGAGGAATTGAAGCGGAAATTGAATGAAATGATGCAAAAAGAGTCGGCATATGTGGAGACTCTGGCAGAAGCGGACAAAATCATTGCAACGCTTGAACACAACTATAAACATCGGATCGAGGAATTGGAGGCTTCGAAGACTGGTCTCAAGTTAAGGGTCACACAACTCGAAGAAAGTGAATCACGTTTGCGGTCCAGTCTTAGACCTGACAGGAGAGCCACCAATGATTCCTATGGAAAGGCCAGTGATCTCGTCAAACAACTTATTGACTCTGAAGCTCGAGAGTGCTCTTTGAGGCAACAAATCAAAGCTCTCGAAACATCTGTCAATCAATTGAACCAACAGTTAGAAGACACCAATCATTTGAAACAACGAATCGAAACCGAACTCAAAGATCAGGACGAATTGGTCTCCACTGTTAACCATTTGCAACAACACATCGATTCATTGAAATCAGATCTGAATAAATCACT